ATCGATTGGATAATGTGGGCCAACAATCACGTGGAGAAAATCTTGAGTATTGGAAAAAAAAACGTGACTTGCGTGTGTGTGGTGATTTGGAGTTGAAAAAACAAAGTGAGAATTGTTAAGTTGGTGGTTGGTGGGTTGGTTGGAAATTTATTATATCATAAATGCATTTATTATGAAACGAGGGCAATTTAGTCCATTTACATGATAAAATAAGGGGAGGGGTCAGAAATCTGAGGTGAAGGGGTCATGAATAAGTAAAAATCAAAAGGGGGTCAAAAATCCAGAGTGGTTATTGAAAGGGGTAAAAAATCCCAATTTCCCAACATTGTTCGGGAAACAAAATAAGGAATCGAAGATTTGTATGAAAGATTAGTAGATAAAAGGGATAAGAACTTTGTTATCTGTTTTGTGTAATTCTTTGTTTTTAGCTTTAATATTCAAAATATGAAAACAAAAAATATACCTTAAATCTTTTTCAAAATGCATTGGCCTGTTAGTTATAAAGCATTTATGGGCATTTTCAGCTTCTAAATGAATTACTGATTTTCAGCTTCTAGAAGAATCACAAATTATTGGTTAGAAATGATTTCATATTTTAGAATTTTAAAAAATGAAGAATTATTTCAAATTCTTAAATCGTGTTGATTTCAAATCATTAAAATGAAAAATAAAATATAATATTTTACAATTAGATCCTTGTAAATAAATGTTGGGGACAAAAATATGACCTACCACGTGGCGAGATCATATATGGCTGACCTCATCAGCTCATCTCCGGTCGAGCTCTTAAGTCCATCTAGGAAGATCTCCTAAGTCCATCTAGGAAGATCTCCTGAGCTCGTCTACGGAAGAGCTCCTAAGCTCATCTACGGAAGATATCCTAAGTTCATCTAGGAAGAGATCTTAAGCTCATCCATGGAAGAGCTCCCAAGCTCCTCTACGTAAGAGCTCCCAAGCTCCTTTACGGAAGAGCTCCTAAGCTCATCTACAGAAGATATCATGTCCATTTACGGAAGAGCTCCTAAGCTCGTCTACGGAAGAGCTCCTAAGCTCATCTACGGAAGATATCCTAAGTCCATCAAGAAAGAGCTTTTAAGCTCGTCTATGGAAGAGCTTCTAAGCTCATCTATGGAATAGCTCCTAAGCTGATATAGGAAGACCTCTTAAGCTCATCCATAGTCGAGCTCCTAAATGACAAGCTTTGACATCATGCGGTTCGCCGACCTCAAAGGTCGGCCCCGTTACTTAGACACGGATTAGAACCTTCCAAGTATTATACTCCAAAGCAGGGATAAATCCAGAGACCAACACGGACCAACGGTCCATAGCAGGTCACCTGACCCCAGAGTAGTGAAATACCTCGATGGGATGGGTAATTACTCCTCAAATCTCTATAAATACACCTCCACTCCACCCACTAAGGTATGGAAACTATTTTTTACGCTGATCTGTTGAGCTCGGATTATATACTAACTTAGCGTCGGAGTGGCTTACCTCCTTGCAGGTATCCCGAGAATCGCTCTAAGTGCTACCAACCGACCTCCCAGGTCGTCATCCGTAACCCGAGAATCGCTCTAAGTGCTACCAACCGTCTGTGGGGACGACATTTTAAGTCATTCCTAATAAGATCAATCTATGACTCATGCAGTTTCTCGAAGCGGTAGTATTCCCCAAAATTTGGTGGACCTTCAAATCTCTTCAAGGTATTCCGCTGCCAGAAGATCTTCCTGTTCAAGATCTTCCCTGAACGATGACCTTCCCCTCGAGGAAGACCTCCTCCTCATAACAACTTTCGGTTAAGGAAGATCTACTGGAAGAGGAATAACTCTTAGTCGAGGACGACCTCCCCTCGACGACAAGTTTCCCAAGGGAGACCTACTGCAAGAGGAAGACCACATAGTCCAGGATGACCTTCCCTTCGACGACGAGTCTCCCAAGGAAGACCTACTGCAAGAGGAAGACCTCATAGTAGAGGATGACCTTCCCCTCGACGACAACTCTCCCCAAGGAGAACTATTGTAAGAGAAATATCTCATAGTCGAGGACGACCTTCCCCTCGACGACGAGTCTCCCAAGGAAGACCTACTGCAAGAGGAAGACCTCATAGTAGAGGATGACCTTCCCCTCGACGACAACTCTCCCCAAGGAGAACTATTGTAAGAGAAATAWCTCATAGTCGAGGACGACCTTCCCCTCGACGACGAGTCTCCCAAGGAAGACCTACTGCAAGAGGAAGACCTCATAGTTGAGGATGACCTTCCCCTTGACGACAACTCTCTCCAGGGAGAGCTATTGTAAGAGGAATACCTCATAGTCGAGGACGACCTTCCCCTCGACGACGAGTCTCTCAAGGGAGACCTACTACAAGAGGAAGACCTCATAGTCGAGGACGACCTTCCCCTCGAAGACAAATCTCCCAAGGAAGACCTGCTCTAAGAGGAAGACCTCATAGTTGAGGATAAACTCTCATCATTTGATCATATATTTGAGCAAGCATGATAGCTGACCTACACCCAATGGGGGCACCAAAATATAAATTACGCATATCATCAAATTCCTAAGCGCCCAGTTTAGGCTGAGCTACTCCAAGCTCAACTTCGAACTCCTAAGCGCCTAGCTTAGGCCGAGCTCATCCAAGCTTTGAGCTCAAACTCTTAAACACACAACTTGAGTCGAGCTTCTCCAAGCCCGAACTCAAATGCTTAAGCGTCCAGCTTAAGCTGAGCTTCTCCAAGCATCAAACATAATCAACATGGCAAGCTTAAGTCGTCTTAAAGCGTTGACCTTGAACAACACGTCATCCATTATTCTTAAGCATCAAGCTTAGTTGAACTTCTCAGAGCTCCTAACTTAGGCAACATGCCATCAAGATGAATTTCTCATAAGGCCGAATAGTGAACATACCCAAAGGTGATAGCTTGCGGAGAGACAGAGCTCATCACCATCAAAAGGAAGAGCTGCAATTATATAGATCACCCCCAACCAACGGGAAAGCTTCCATCAAATAGCTCATCCCTACCTAAAGGGAGAGCTTTCATCTAAGTTCATCATCATCAAAAGGAAGAGCTTTCGTCTGATAGCGCATCCCCACCTAAACGAAGAACTTTAATCTGAGTTCCTCATTGCAAGAAAAATTTGTAGCTGAGCTCATCATGAGGGCTTCCGTCAAATAGCTTGTCCCTGCCTAAAGGGAAAGCTTCCAACAGAGCTCATCATAAAAGATTCCATCTGATAGATCATCTCACATAAAGGGAGAGCTTCGTTTGAGCTCACCATCATCAAGAAAGCTTTCGTCAGATAGCTCATCATCGCCTAAAGGGAGAACTTTCATCTGAGCTCATCCAAGCAAGGAGAACTTTCAGTTAAGGTCATCAAACTCATCAGAAGAGCTTTCGTTACACAGCTCCACTCTACCTTAAGGAAGGCTCGCGAAGAGAGAGCTCATCTCAATCTCAAACATGCATGATCTATCAGATAACTCACCTCGGCCTCAATGGTGAGCCTCTACAAGATAGATCACTTCTTCATGCATGAGTTCACATCGACCAAAAGATAAGCTCCCACAAAATAGGTCATCTCGACCTCAAGGATGACCTATGAGATAATTCACTTCACTAGGCATGAGCTTACATCGACCAAAATATGAACTCCCACAAAATAGGTCATATCGATCTCGAGGATGACCTATACGGTATAATTCATTTTTTCATGCAATGAACTTACATCGACTAAAAGATGAGCTCCCACAAGACGTCATCTTAACCTCAAGATGAGCTATCAGATAGCTCACATCGACTCAAAGGATGAGCTCACATCATA